ATGTATCTACATTTTTCATTTAACATTACAAGTATTTTTCTCATGTTATTAATTTTTCTGCAAACAATCTTAATGACTGAGTTCTGTACTATATGTATCATTTTCCCCTTACGTGTCATTAAATACCTTATATGTCATTTTAATTGTATTTTAATGTTGTTTTTACATATATGTCATGTCAAAATAGGGTAGTTACATCTCTAGATAAATATATGATTGGAATATGAGTTGCAAAGACCATAATCTACCTTCATTGACATTACTCCCTGGATTTCTTGAAGGAAATATAGTCCTAGAGAACAAAACAATGTTAAATAATGCTCAGATAACTACCTGGGCCTTGGCTCCCAATTCCAGTGTAGAATTCTAATGAGCCAGGTTGGAGTATGGAAGAGCTCCTTTTCCTTAGGTAAGGTAGACTCTTACTTACGATGTAAACTGCTGTCTCCTGTCTCCTTTGGTGCTGTTATTCAAGGACTCCCCAATTTATTTTGCTGTACTCCTACTTCAGCAGTAAAACACAGAAGTCTTGAGTAAAAAAGTCAAAATATCCTTGGGTGAGGGTTAACAACAACAACAACAACAACAGCATGATATTGATTTTTAGAGAGAGAGTGGAAGGAAGGGCCGGGGAGGGAGGAAAGGTGGGAGGGAGGGAGAGAGATAGAGAGAGAGAAGAGAGAGGAGAGAGAGAGAAACATTGATGTGCCTCCTGCACATGTCCTAACTGGGGCCAGGGATCAAACCTGCAACCCTTTGATGCTCAGGTCAACACTCTAACCATTGAGCAACACCAGCCAGGGCTATACCTTTGGATTTTTAGGGAGGCTTCATCACATAGGCACGATCAATAATTAAGTCAATTCCAATCCCTTTTCCCTTTCTGGAGAATAGAGCATGGGGCTGAAAGTTATATAAAAAAAAATTAATAGTTGACCTCAACCAGATTGGAATCTGGAAGGCCTATAGAGGGAACTCTCATTCCTATGTTAGTCAAGAAGCTAAGTAAGAACTCTAGTTATCACAACAGCCTTCTTTTTACCATCCATATAAGACCTTCCTCTTTATTTGTTGTGGTGAATTTGCCATGGCTGCATGTTCTGGGTTGCAGTTCTCTCTTTTTCCTGGAATAAACCCTTGAATATCTAGTTTCTAATTGTGACTTGGTCTCCCTGATGACCAGCCCCCATTTAGGAGCTCACCATGAGTCACCTCATTTGAACAAAAGACATTACCAAACCCAGGAAATTCCAAGTTATTTAAGAACTTTTGTGTCAGGAACTGAGGTCAAATTTTAAAACAAAAGTTGCTCCTAATGCTGTTTTCACTTAAGAAATTACAAGGGTTTTAGGAACTGAGTGCCAGGAATGAGGAACAGAGATCAGTAAATACAGGATGTTCCCCCAAAATTTACTTATGAGCTGATAGCACAAGAGATGTTTCTTGCTTTTCAGATTTAACCCATTGGAATGAATAATTATTCAACATGTGTATATAGTTTTTTTTGGATACCCTGTTTTTTCCATTTTCTCATATGAATCTTGGTTTTCCCCACAACTATTAGTAAACATAGGAAGGGAATCTTGTAATTAGAGTGAATAACAATTTTAAAAGATGTTTGCTTCATCTCCCTTATTGTTTATATTATTTTTGTAGCCCCCACAATTAAATAATCTCCTCCTTTATTTTCCTTATCTTGTTTAGAAAGGCATTTTAAACACAGTAATTTATTTCTTTGAAGCCCTTTATTACTTAACTATTGACCTTTTTACCTAAAATTATAATTCTGCTAGAGGTCCCGGGCACAAAATTTGTGCACAGTTGGCGGGGGGGGGGGGG